TTGTCGACGGAAGGCTTGAAAAAAATGTCCGTAGAGAATTCACAGATTGAAGAGCTTCCTGGGACGACAATAAGGACTGCGATGGACCTGTATTATCATCATCATCATCATCTTCATCATTGTTTCCTATCTCATCAGTAATTTCAGAGAGAATATCTTCATCAGTAACTCCTGCAAAAACCATAAGATCATCATCTGCTGTTAAATAGTCTTCTATACTAATTCCAAACTTTTTACCGGTTGTTTCCTAAAACACATTCTTGATCATCTGAGAGATCATTGTCTATGGAATTCATTATCAGATTTCTTATCTTCCATAACAGAAAGACCTGCCTTTTTCCAGCAATTCCGAATGGTTTTTTCTGTTACTTCCCACCAACTTCCAGCAATATTGTCACACGCTTCCTTGACATTTACAGCTTTGAAAGGGTCTTCTACTTTATTTTCAAAGTTTACAAGTATGGAGTCCACCAACCGTTTTCTGTAATATCCTTTGAAGCACTTAATTATGCCCATATCAAGAGGCTGTAAAATTGAAGTGCAATTGGCAGGGAAAAAAGCGATTTCGATATTTTGTAGCTTTGGAAATGACGTGTGAGCACCGCAGTTATCTATCAACAAAACGATTTTTTTCTTTCTCTTCTTCATTTCATTGTCTAACTTCTGTAACCATTCGGAAAAAAAATTTAGACGTCATCCAAGCCTTCTTATTTGCTTTATACTCCACGGGAAGACTTTTCACGTTCTTAAAGCACCTTGGCTTCAATGATTTACCAATGACGAGAGAGGTTGTATTCTATGCGTTCCTGTGCTATTTGTACACAGAAGAACAGTCAGTCTCTGCTTTGATTTCTTCCCTCCATAACACTTTTCACCCCTTGAATGCCAATGTTCGATCGGGTAGGAGTTGGAAAAACAGCCCAGCTTCATCTGCATTATAAATGTCTTCTGGAGCATACTTTTCTAAGATTTCTTTCATCTTGTTTTTTGCCGCCATTCATTTGCGTCGTTTATCGGGGCTGACTTTTTTCTCTCCGTGAACTTCTTGGAAAGTTATTCCATGACGATCTCGAAAACGCATTAACCAACCATTGCTAGCTTTGAAAGTTTCGTTCCCTAGCATTGCTGCAAATTTCCGTGCTTTTGCACATAATAAAGGTCCATTTATTGGGACATTTGTTGCTCTCATCTCTTGAAACCATTTTAAAACAGCAGCATCAATGTTTTCATTTGTCGCAACTTTCAGTCGTTTTTCGCTCTGGGTTAATTTCATTTGAAGTTACAGCATCTTCGATTTGCTTTCTCTTCTTTAGGAACGTTGCAACTGTAGATTGCGATAATCCATGTTTCTTAGCCGCATCAATCTGCTTCATTCCCTCATCAATATCATTGATAACGTTCAGTTTATCTCGAAAAGATAGTTGCTTTCGCCCTGCCATCTTAGGGAACAATATCGCGTGAAAGAAAGAAAAGTTTAAACCAAATGTTTCGCGTAGAACTCAAAATCGTTAAAGACTATAAAACAACCTTTGAACTCACTTTTCAGTACGTCACTTAACAACACCCGCCTCCATCTCTCCCCTGTTCCTCTAACAAAGGGCACTTGTTCTGTGACAAGGTGACCAGACAGGTCTAGATGTCCTTAAACCTTATCTGAATTCCAAAGCTTACTGGGAAATGAGACTAGGCATACATTTACACTTCACCCCCCCTCACCCACTCCAATTCCCAAAAGGGTGGTCTTCATCTGTTTTGAAATCTGAACAATAGCTATTTATTCAGGGATAAGTTGAATATCCACAATGAGTCTTAATAGACGGAAAAAATAACAAAGAAAACGAAAAAAAAAAGCATTTGAAAATCAAAATATTATTATAAAGGGAGAAAATAATACTGAAATTTAGATTGAAAAAATCGTTTTACAGAGGTTTATTGTTCTAGAGAATATAGCAATATTGAGTGGAGATTAACATTAGTTTATATGCAAAATCACCGGGACCACAAAACATTATTGTAGCAGAGGGAGTTATTGTTGTATCGGGTATCGTTGTAGCGAGAGTTTACTGTATATCGATAGAATAAAATTTAAAATCATTGTCAAGAATCATCAAAATCTAAACATTCATTGCAATGGATGATTTTGTAAGTTCGTTTTTCATAAATTTAAGTTTTATGCTCTTAAATAAGCCTACTTAGTTTGAAGAATATATAATAAGCCATACTGTCAAAGTATGCCACAAATTCTGCAAGAATTCATATCAGAAATATGTCTTTAAAGACAAACTTAATTTTATTTACAGTTAAATTATGACTTCTGTAAATTTATAAGTGATAAAAGGAAGTAAAACAATAAAAACCAACTGGATGAGAAATATGCCAATCTAAAATATAAAATTATGCCAAAAAGCAACTTTAGACTGACACAGAGTTTGAATAAAACTCTGCAAGTTTTTTGGGTTATCAGGTACAGGGTTATTAGGCTCTCATCCTCAGAAACAAAATTCTTTAGACAATCAAAAAAGAAGAAAAGTAGGGTGTGTGTTAACCATATTTATATAGAAATGAATGGGCAGAGCAAAGTAGAGAAAAACATAGCCTCATCCATCAAATAAAATAATAATAGTATGCAAAAACGCTAATGTATTAGAAATTTGAAAGCACTGTTTAATAAATTGAAACTAATGCCATTAACTAATGCAGATATATTTTTTATGAATTTTAATAGCTTTAAGAAAATCTAATTCAACAACTGAAGAAGCTTTGTGAGTAATTAACAAGTAACTTGTTATAACTTCAAAGCTTAATAAATTAATTGTCTTATTACAAGGTAGAAAATTTTTAATAATTAAATTTATGATATTTTTGGAATATCCTCATTATAAATAATATTAGACTAAATCAATGATATTAAAATTGTAACTTTTGAAAGGATGATTTAATTGCTACAATTTAGGTATGGAAACATAACTCAAAGCTTTAAAAATTTCATTTAATATGTTTTCTTCATCCTATTATGTAACTATTAATGTTCTACGATTATATCCACATTACTATAAGTACAGTGGTGGCCAAAATTGAGGACACTTTTGGAAATTTTTATGTTTTCGAACTTTGTATGGTTATAGAAAACGTTACGTTTCACAAAATGCAAACTTGTATATATCATTTTAAAGAGAATTTATTACTGAATTCAATACAAAGCACAAAATTCAATTATTTGCAATACAAAAAAAGTTAAACGATAATAGTTATCGATATACATTAGATAGTGATGATTGCAGTGAGTTATCAGTACTATAATAATAGTTATCGATATAGTATAATAGTTATCGATATACATTAGATAGTGATGATTGCAGTGAGTTATCAGTACTTAGTAGGGTACCCTTTATTTTTGATTACAGCTTCACATCGACGATTCATTGAGCTGACAAGAGTTTTAAGCTCTTCTTTCGTTATTACATGATGCCAGGAAACAATTATAGCCTCAATTAGTTCCCTTTCATTTGATGGGCGCCTCATTCGGACAAGAGTTTTCAAACGGTGCCACAAATTTTCGATAGGATTGAAGTCAGAACTGTTTCCTAGCCATGACAACAATTCAATGCTCTTTGTACGAAACCACTCTTTTGATATTTGGGCCGTCTGGCAAGGAGCAGAATCCTGCTGAAAAATAAACGTAGCATTGTTGGGAAAGTGATCTCTGATGGAAGGTAGAAGTTTTGGTTCTAGAATAGTGTCAATGTATTTTCTGGCATTCAGTGTCCCATTGATGACATGAAGGCGACCAATACCATCTGCTGACATGCATGACCAATTCATGACACTAACTGGGTTCTTCACAGTTGCTTGAATGCAGTCAGGATGTAGCTCTTCTTCAATTCCACATCTTACATATTTTAGCCCATCACTACCGAATAACGATATCTTAGTTTCACCACTCCATATAACTTGTGACCACTGATCATCTGTCCAATTAATGTGTTCCTTTGCCCATTGTAGTCTTTTTTTTTTTTCGTTGCTGAAAATTAAGGCTTTTTTCGTGGAATTCTACCTCTCAGTCCAACATCTGTTAATTTTCTCCTGATTGTTATTGAACTGACAGAATCATTCAAATCACTTCTGATGGCTGCTGATGGCATTTTCCTATCTTGGAGACATAGACTTTTTATTCTTCTGTCATCAATAGATGTGGTGCACTTTTTTCAACCTTTTCCTTCTTTGTTTTTTATTGAATTTGTCTCCTAATAGCGTAAACAAAATTTTCGGACTCCAGATGTAGTTACTGAACCACCCACCTGTCTTGCAATTTCAGCATAGGAAAGACCACTTTCTTGTAACACAATAATATTACATCTCTTTCTAGGTGTCCAATCTACTCTTTTATTTGATGTCATTGCTTCTTGACTAAATATTAAACATTTTTACAAAAATTTTTACTTGTAATTGCAGTGTATATAAGAAACAGGTCCTCCATCTACAGAACAAAGCAAAATAATGAATTGTTTCAAGTGTAAACATGATGTCAGCTTCTACTGGCAGTTACTAACATTCGATTGGTTCTCAGAACAAGAACAGTGATTGGCCAGGAAAGCTAGACATTACAAACCACTTCATAAATGTGTTTTTTATTTATATTAAAGTACATATAACTTTTTGTATTGAAAATAATTGAATTTTGTGTTTTGTATTGAATTCAGTAATAAATTCTCTTTAAAATGATATATACAAGTTTGCATTTTGTGAAACGTAATATTTTCTATAAGCATATAAAGTTCAAAAACATAAAAATTTCCAAAAGTGTCACCACTGTAGATTTTATGCCACAGAATGCTACGATAAAGTTGGAATACGAAAGATATATTTTTTAATGAAAATTTCTTATTGCACTTTATTAAAGCATAATGGGAGAAAAATAATTTCAAATATAAATGCTTTTTCACAAAACACTTAAAAATAATGTAGTATTTAAAATGTAATAAGAAATGAAAATAACTCACTGTGACAATTTCTAACATTTCTTGACGAGATATATATCCATTACCATCTAGGTCATACATGCTGAATGCCCATTTCAGTTTTTGCTCTAGTTTGCCTCGAGATGTGACACTTAAAGCACACAGGAATTCCCTAAAATCAATAGTTCCATCACCATTTGCATCAAAGGTGCGGAACACATGTTCTGCAAACTTAGATGCATCACCATATGGGAAAAAGTTTCCATATATTTTTTTAAACTCTTCAATTGAAAGGTGACCACTTGGGCAGTCTTTCAGAAATCCTTTATACCACTCTTGAATTTCAGCATCTGTAAATTCTGTATTCTGACGCAGGTCTTCAAGAACCTCTGGCTTGAGCTTGCTGTTCTGCTTCCCCATTACAAACACTTTGTCGAAAAGTTATTATAAGAGAGAGGATTTCATTCTATAATAATTCTCAAAAGCTCAGTACACCTGCAACATAAGCATATTACAATTAAAACATATAATTTTAAGTTCAGTATGCTAGAGCACATTTTATAATATACAGTGTTAAAAAAAAAGACTATATAACTGAATAAATCCTGTATAACCCATGGTTCTATTTAAAAAAATAAGTGAAAAAAAAAAGTTCAGACTATGCTAATTTTTGTAAAATGGCAATATTCGTTAAATGTACAAAATTAAAACTGTTTCTGACATCTGCTATTCAAATATTCAGACAAATAAATAACTTGTTATCCAACTATAGTCTATTCATTGAGAAGAGAGACAGAAAAAACAAAAGCATATGGGATTTGGCCATACCAAAGACATCATGATGCAATTAAGCAAATGCCGAACATATGCTTGACATTCCTTTTATTTGAAACAAAAGCTTCTTATAACATTGTAATTCATAGCATCTTAAAAATAAATAACATTTTAAATTATATCATCTTCAAATATTTAATACTTTAAATTACTGAATATTTCTATGTATAAGCTGTGAATTTTTAGCAAATATTTTGCTATTGAAGTCTGCGGAGCAGCTATATGGTTTCGAAATGATTGACTAATAGTTTGATCATTAAATTATATTATTGGTTAAATAATCGAAAAAAAATATTTAATCCTTACATACCTTAATTAAACTTCTTAATATCAGAAGCCAACTCAAAATGTTTTAGCTATTCTCAAATTATCTTTGCATGAGGCAACACTGATTGTCATCTTCCATTTCACCATTAACATCATCTGGCTCATAGACAATATTAATCTCATTTCTATCCATAAAGTCATAGCTTTCAATTTATATCTAGTGAAAGTCTTTTTTTTTTTTTTTTTTTTTTTTTGTCCCCCCCCCCAGGCACTTTGACTATATGGCATAAATGAATAACTGTATTTTACTTGTAAAAACAGAAACACATATGAGAGGAAAGAAATTATAATTGCTTGAGAATGGTTACTATAACTGAGAATCAAAGTAAACATCATGCTATAGCTAATATGCCAAATGATGAGTATGCACAATAGTTGAGCATATTGAGAAAGAGAAACAATCGGTAGTATTTTTCATTTACCAAAGTGTCTTTCATTTACCTATTTTTCAAATGAGAGCTGAGGATAACCTGTCATTTATATTCAGCTTGTCTGATATGCTTAGCTAAGTTACGTGCAATTATTCATACTTCTGGCAATATACAAGTTTTGAATATAAAGTAGAAAATGACATCACATGGATATGCATGAGTGGTAGTGGGAGAAGAATGAAGCATGGTAAAGATGCTCCATAACGTGCTTAAACATAGAGTAATAAGTAGCACGGATTTCTTCCGTAATAGTCTAATATGCAAAAGTGAAGGAATGGCTATAAAATAGAGTGGTAAACAAATTTTAAATTCTGCTTCATGCTTGATAAATTTGTAAAAGAAAATCAAGGCACAGTAAAGCAAGATAACAGAGATGAAGCTTATCTTTTAAGTATCATTTAATAAATGGTTTAAACATTTTCAAGATACTTGGGATTCTATTACAGACACTGCTTGAAATAGTATACCTACAGCTTTTAGTAGTGATGAAAACATTGAAAAAGTGAAGCTATTAGTCATGAAGAGAAACAATGAATACTAACATGTACGCTGCGAAAAAAAGGGGGGAACAGTTCCATATCGGCCATTCTACTGGGCCGATTGACGAAATTCAACTTGTGTTTTTCATGTCTCGAAAGGCCGACTTAGGATACGTATTAGATTTATCCATAACATTGTTCTAATATAGTTATTTTGACACAAAACCGGACTTTTTCAAAAATAACATAAAAAAATTTTTCATATTTCGATCCTACTACTCAAACTATGCCAAACTACCAAGTTTTATAAAAATCACACGAGTAGTTTTTAAAAATTAGCTCTCAAAATTTTAGCTCCTCTGTATTACTTGAGTTTGGTATATATTTATTAGTCTCTCTTTCTTATTGAACTTATTTGATTCTTCCTTTCAATTTCGAAATTCAGGTTCATTCCAAATAAAATTCACCCATTTTTTATGATTTATGTTTAAAATTTGTATTCTTAAATAATTTTTAAAAAATTTTCAAAAATTATTTTGAATTATAATCTATACAAATTTTACCATCATCTTAAAGTAGATGTATTTTAAGCATACCTGCAAAAAAATTACAGTTTTTTATTCAAAATTTTCGAAGATATACATGAATTTATATATTGGCACATTTTGAAATTTGGCATATTTGTTGAAAGCGATAAAACATCAAATGTGGTGTACACACTTTGCTAAAATTATTGGAAAGTAGGAACGATGTGACTTTTTTTACGCTCATGCACAATGTTAAAATATAGGAATGAGGTGCCTTTTTTTCCGCTTCGGCATAATGGAAGGGAAAGGAAAATTGGCTGCCATATATTAAGCAGTTCGTCAAGTGAATTATTCATGATGCAAACTGAAAAAAAAATGCGGCAAGATAAAAATTAGAATTTCTTCGTAAATTTCGCACCAAATTTTACAAAATTTTCGGGGCATAATTTGAATTATAGAATTAAAATATGGGAAAAAATTGGTATGTTATTTCAGAAAAAGTCCGATTTTGTGTCAAAATCCCTATGTTAGAACAATGCTATATATATATCTAATATATACCTTGATGAATATATCATGATAAATTTATAGAGAAGAGCTGTAATGCTAGATTATCTACCATATTACTTGATCTTGCTTCAGCAGACATTTTCCCTAACTTGAAATGACCCCTAAAATGTAAATAACTTTCACATAATCAATAATCAAAGCTATGCTATGAGAGTTCACCATACAGTATTGAAAGACGACTCGGACTACAGTTACTTGAACTGCACCAGCTGTTGTCAAAAGTGCTCTGCACATGACAGGCATTAACTTTAAAGAACAAAAAAACTGGGAGATTTGATGATTTACTGGAAGTCTTAAAGTGAAAACGGGAAAGGTAACAGCTTTAATACCAATTTTAACATATATTAGCCAACACTGTTGCTGAATAGACAACTTTGATTAAAATATGTTGTTATTATTTCTTATAATAATACTTTTGTTTTCAAAATGAAAAGTCAAGAGAAGTCATTGTCTCGTAGTTAGTTCTTTGTTTATTGAAATAACTAATTCAAGAATGATTTATTTTAGGTTTAGAAATTCACCATGCTCTTACTGTGCTGTCTTTCTAAAAAAAAAAAAAAAAGTAAATTCTTCTTTGAAATACCCTGTATTATTAAGAGAAGGATGGTTAAATAATTATTTTAAAATGCACTGAAGAACAAATTTTGAAAATGCATAAAACTACTAATTTTAGATCCTATCAACAGGCAAGTTTGAAAGCAACCCACACAAGAAATTTTGAGAATCAAAGCTGCAGTTCTGTTTCTTTGCACCACAAACTTCTAACTTTACATCTTTAACAAAACTGCCATTCTTTTTACCAAGGTCTCATTTTATCATATCAAACAAATATTTTGTCCTTATGTATTTATCTTTATAAATAAGAGAAAAGCCAGATTTTTGGTCTGTAGACAGACAATTTTGGGAAATTCGGAAAGCCAGTTAAAATATTTAATGTAATTGGATTTTTGCCCATCAAGGACTAATTTTCCCTCATGAATACACTTAAACATTACCACAACACATATAACTAACAAAAGATAAAGCTATACATACCAACTTAGGCTGGCAAAACACCATTCAAATCAATGGAACTGAAAATGAAAAGAATATATTTCAATGTCTGGAAAATTTGTTACAAGATATTGCAAAATTTACTATACATGAATATATAAAAGGATTTTAAATGAAATATTTGAATCTATCTGTTTAACCACATAATATGCAATTATATAATTCCAAATCACAATATATGCTGTATTATTTTCTTTAAACAAAGAAGTGTTGTCTGCAGTAGTTGCTAATTATAAACTATTCATTTATTATCAACAAATAGTAAAATAATATATCCCAATAGAAAAACTCAATCTGTAGTTTGTTAAAATAAAATAAAATAACCTATGATAAATAAGACCAATTTGAGACATGCAAATATACTATAACAAATATAAAAAAGATTTAATTAAATATATTTTGCCCGATTAAAATGCTTGAATTCCTTCTATTCAAAAAATTTAAATTTGAATAATATTAACTGTTTAAAAAAGCTGGAATGTGAATATTTGAGTTTATATCAAGGAAACTATTTTAATAAGAAACAAAACAAAAAGTTTAGAAAAAATTGTGACCAAACAATCTCAATATAATAAATAAATCTCATAAACCAGTAATTTATAATTTGAAAACTTTTTATATACCATATCCAAGGAACACAAATTCAATTAAAACCAGGAATTATTAAAAAAAATTTAGTCAGTATTTTAATTAGTAATTTAAATTAGTATTTTCAGACTCTATTGCTTTAAGAACATAAAAATCTGTACAGAAAAATTCTTAATCGCAAAAATACTAAAATTAAAAAAAAAAAAATTTTTAAGTATTGAAAAAGTACTATTGTCACTGACCGCAGGTAAAGGGGAATAAACCATCTACTATCAATTAACAACAACTAAATTAAGTGAGAGTATTTTGTCTTTCTTCCAAGTAAGGCTCAAATTATATTTCTGCTAGAGCCAAATCATAAGTCACAAACAATATTCAATCAATAGAAAGACATTAGTCGGAACACAACAAAACGAGAGTCTTATTAGAAGAGATCTTCCCCGACACTCTGATTTTCAAATTCAAAACTAAAATCAAAAGTTATACAGTTTTTAACATTAAAAAGTAATTCAAAATAAAAAGAAGATCAAAACTGACATAATCTTTTAAATTAAAGTTAAATCAAAGTAGTTAATTAGATATTTAAAGATCAAACTCAGGAAAGAAATTACAATTAACTTATTTGCCTGAAAAATTTAAAAGGAAATTTACAAAACAATTAAAAAATATATAATCATGTCTAGTATTTTCGCTAATTAAGCTGCTGAAAAAATATCAGTAAATAACATAAAGTAAGAAATTTACAACTAAGTTTTCACAAAAGCCAAAAATTGAAATTCATAAGTAATAAATTTCAAATAATCCTATAAATGCAAAAAGGATTTAAAAAATGTTAAAACCAAAACTCAACAAGCAACACCCCAATTCAAAAAATCAATGAAGTTTAAAGAAAATAGAACATAACAGAAGGAGAATTCAATCAACCTCAATGTCACTTCGTCAGGAGGAGGAACATTGAAATCTCTCTTCTAAAAAAATCCTTGCTTTTCTGTATCCAGAATTAGCTGATGGACCATTTCAATGTACTTTAATTATAAAAGTTTACTCGAAAATTCTAGCCGCTCCTTAAATAAAGAGAATTCTATTTAAAAAATTGAAAACGTAAGTAAAATAAAAAAAATACTAAAATATTTCAGTGATAAATTCAGATCAAAATTTTACCTTAAATAGTTATCATAGAAAAAAGGTTTTATCGATTTCTATCAGTTTGTTAACATTTCATTAAAAATATTTAATATTTCTAATATCTGATGATTTTAATGCATTATTTAAATCAATCATATTAAAAATCAGAAAAATTATTCGTAAAAAGTGAGTTTATTGCTTTTAAATCGCTTAGCTTCTTATTCAGTAACTTTCCACATTAAATTTAAAAGTTAAATATCTTAGTCTTTACTGAAAGGCAACAGTCTGAAGCATGGAAGATAAAAGTATTTTATTTCCGTCAGTGGCAACACACTGCCTTCGAATAGCCGAGTTTGTTAATTAAAACATAAATATCTCACAGTTTTCTGAATGGCAACAGGCTCGCGTGCTGCAGACAAAAGTGTTATTTCGAACAGTGTTGCCATTGCTCGCTTTCAAATCGCTGAGTTTGTTAATCAAAAATTACATTAATTCAATCAAATTAAATTTGTAAAAAAATGAAATAAATAAAAAAAAATCAGACTTCTAGGTGCACATATTCGTGTGAAGGGTCTAGAGGACCCTGCATTCAAAATCTGATGGCTCTAGACACCGTCATTTTTCCAGAGTAAGGGAGCATCCATACATGCATGCAGATTTTTCACCATTTTGTTTGTTTAACATAATACATGGCGATAGCATTTGGTGACAACAATTTGAAAGTTTCGAGACTAATAGCGCCTCTTGTACTTTAGAACAAGGATGTTGCTGTTAAAAAAATTTAGAATATGATGTAGATGGCATATTTATTATATCGCTATTTTTGTTTGCTTACACTATTTCCTCCTTTTTATTTGCGTTAAATAACATTACATTACAAACGTAGAACGTTAGGAAATCCTGCTACATACAAGTGCGCTGCAAGAACATACGGAACAAAATTTCGAAACCACTGGACGCAGAAATTTTGGTAAACAGAGTTTCAAACCGCTAATTTTAAACATTGAAATTCTAGCGTTTCCTCTTGTATAAGCAAAACCATGACCCTCTAGCCTAGTAAAAACAAATCTTCAGCGCAGGAACCTCGAAATAGATGATTAATGGGTTATGTTTAAAAGGTCGCTATAGAAACGAAATGACTTTCGAATGGATGCCATTGGACAGCTACCGCCGAGGAAGATTGGAGGCATAATACCGAAAAACGCATGTTCAGTGCTTGAGGTTTCAATTAAAAAAAAAAAAAAATTACTAATCAAATGAATCATTAAATTTGTACGATCATTATGCGGTAATGATGATTATACTCTTCTAAAGATATGCAGTCTAAATAAAATTTGAGCATCTGCCAAAACATAGCCGTTTTTTAACAATGCAAAACTCGAATGAAATATTTATTGTTATCTGCTGCCCCTCTTTTTTATTAACGAGATTCTCCTGGCAACGGATGAGGCACAGAATCCAAAATAAAACAAGAAAATTCCTGTATGATGCATGAAGAATTTTAATGTTTTCTAAACATAAAACTTTCTGACTACAAAATATACTTTCTGGCTTATAAACAAAAATACAACTGGCAAATCGATATCTCACTAGGTATTCAAAATAAAATTTGATCTGCCCTTGCTCGACTATCCCATTCACACAAAAAATAACAGAATTTCGTGTATTCTTGTTGCGACTCTACTAAAACAGCAACTACTTTTAAATCTGCACGCACCTGCCATTTATAGTATTCGTATTTGATGCTTTTTAGGAGATTTTTTAAATTTTCACACTATTCCTTCGTATGAACAGCATGGGCAAGAGGAATTGACAATAAATTGTTTCCGATATGTAGCAGAACAGCTTTTAACCTTAACGTTGAACCATCTAGGAATCTCCATTATTTCGTTTTATGATTCATATCAAGAGCAAAGAATAAACCATTTACATCCTTGCAAAAATTTAAGGCTCTGTCAGTGTCGAAGAATGGTGTCATATCTTTCTGACGAGTACGAAAATGAGTTATCACCACACCATTTTTCAAAAGACCCCACTGCTTCAATCTTGAACACAAACAGTTCTGCTTTATTTTTATTTATTTATTTATTTTTCTGAAAATCTAGGTCTCTCACTAGATCGTTTAATGTGGCTTGACTTATCATGTGATAGCTGTCTATATGAAACACTGGGTGCACCGAGTCATATGTTATGGTTATGCGTCACTGACCAGGCTTCCGACCCAAGGTAAAACCGAACAGATCAGTGGAAAAAACAATAAGCAGCCACCACAACAAGGCAATGGCTGAAAGACCAAGTGCCATTCATTGCTCTTAATCAGGAATGTCACAGAAAAGTACTGTACAGAAATGATTACAGGACATCTTGCATAAGATGCAACATATGACATTAAGCAAAACGTCAGTGTATAATACTGATGCGTTTTTTTATACTTCTGCCACGTTCGTACGAGGTTCGTAGATTTGGGGTGAATAACGACGACACTTGATAAAGTATCGAAACACACTTTATTTAGACAATATTGTCAGGACAGCTCCAAAACACGTTTTACAGTCGTCGATAAACAACTAAAAACACGCTGACACGATCAGCGACACAGCCTTTAGGTTATCAGGCTATCACGGTGGAGACAGTTTACTGCAAAACACTTGACTCTGCTTTCCGGAGTACAGCTCCCGACTCTGCTTGGTCGTTCTCGGTACTCTACGTACTCTCAAGACTCTCCACGCTACAACTCGCGATGCACTCGACGACACATGAGCACAGCTCCTGACTTTTCGGTTCAGTCGTTCCCGGAGCTCAACGCGCTCTCTCGACGATGCACTAACCACGATACACTACGAGACTCTTCCGATGCACTCGACGACCCACTCGGCACTCGCTGCCCGGCTGTCAACTCCATCGACTTCGCAGGGATTGACTCGCTAGACGAGACACCAACTCGATACTAACTAACTTGCACTCTATGCGAGGCACACACAGTAACTGACTGCGAACCAGCAGGGTTTATATAGCTTTCGGCTTGTGTTCGGGAACATTCTGGGCTAAACCGGTAAGAATTCGTTCCAGAAGGTTCTCCAACCGTCTATGGTATAACGCCAATTTTGTCGTCAAATGGGCGATTTCTCGCCAAATGTGGCAACCGTGCCCTATTTTGCCATTTTATGGCAACCCTGAAACAGCTTTGCGGAGAAGCCATCTTACCTGTACATTTCGTAACAATATATTATAGTGTATTTAGTAACCCTCGAGTCAGATGCATAGGTTTCCGGCGGTTTAGGAATTGGCAAATTAAAACGTGCTTCTT